ACCCACGTTTTGAAAACGTGGGTATTTTTTTGTGAAAAATAACCCACGAATTTTGCCCCCAAATTATTGTTGTAAAGGGGGAGTTTTGGTTTGAGTGCGCGCGCACGCTCCGTGAAGACCACAAAAATATTCAGCCATGAAACAAGATTGCCATGCGTCAATTTTTACTCACGCTGCGTGGGTACCGGAGGGCCCTGTGTGTCATCTTCCGTCCCGGGAAGCAGATGGTATGGTACTATAAGACTGGAACGGAACGGAACGGAACGGGGGGAGCGGCGATCCATCCATTCGCAACCATCGACTCATAAATTGACGCCATTGACGTTTCCGTGGGAACCGGAGCAGCAGCGGCACCACAACACGAACGACCTTGCCAGAAATCGTCCCTGCACCCCGTTACCCACAACGCAGCAACGCACCGATCGATTCGATTCGATTTCATTCGATTGTGCACTCGTTCTAGAAGGAAAGAAAGCAAATAAAAAAGAAAGCATCGAAAAAAGAAAGCAAACAAGCCACAAAGCGTGGGGCAACACCTCCCTCTCTGTTTCGCAGCTCTGTCGCTCGTCGAAGGATGGAACCGGCAGAGAGATCCCGCGGCGGTTCGATGGGGCCCTTGCATCGCCACCGGCGCAACCGCCCGTGCACACAAGAACACGCACACATGCCTATCATGCATGCACGGTTGCTGGCACAAACCCAAGCGCGTTCGGCCTCGCAGTTTCGCCGGCACCGTCTCTGGCCCCGAGGGGAGGCGTCTCGCCCGTGGCCCAGTGACGAATCCGCACCCGAATCCGTGTGTCCCGAGGAATGCGACGACTGCGAATGCCAATGCGACGGCTGCGAGTGCGACGGCGAGTGCGACGACGAGTGCGACGAGTGCGACGACGAGTGCGACGACGAGTGCGACGACGCGTGCGACTGCTGCGACGACGAGACGAACGCCTCGGACGACGGGGCCTACGACTCGCACGACGACGAGGCGCTGCGGCTGCACCGGCAGCAGCTGTATTGCCTGCGGATGCGGCGGTTGTTCGTCCGCCCCTTTGTGGTCTTTTTCCTGGGGCTGCTGGTCTTTCGCGGCGGCAGCAGGAGCGCTCAAGGGTTCTTCCGGAAGCGATTCGGTGGGACGGGAGCTGCGGTGGGCATGGACTTGCACGCGAACGTTGACCCGAGCGTGGATGGGGATGCGGGCGTGGTTTTGGATGGGAATGCGGGGATCGATGCGTTCKGGGATGCGGACAACAGAATCAGCAAAAGGACCAGCAGCAACGGCAACAGCGGCCTGAGCGACCTTAGGAATTATTCTCGGATGGTTCTCCGAGGACACCAATCGCAACAACGCCAGGAAAACCGGCAACGCGACCATCTTCCCGAAGACGAAGAGGGCGAACACCTTTTTTTGTCCACGGATGCCGCGGGAATGAAACCATCGCCGGCCGCAGACCGAATCGCAGACCGAATCGCAGACCGAACCATAGGCCAAACCGAACCAAAGGGAACACGGACCGGGGAGGGGCCGGAGCCCGGCAACGAGCCACACGGCAGCAGCATCCCCCGAGGCATGCCATTGATGGCGTCGTATCCGATCTTTAACAGCCAGATGTCTCCCATTTCCTACTCTAGCATGGTCCGCAGAAACAGTGGCAACGACGGCCAGAACGACAGCGACAACAACGACGACGGCAGCGACACCGCGAAAAACAACAAGAACAACGACAATCCCGACGACTATGGATGGGTGCCCCAGGCGTACCCGGATCCCTTGATCGACCCCGTCCGCTGCGGGATTGCCTACCTCACGGCGGAGGAGCTCCAGAGCCGCGAGGGGGCGGCCGCGACCGGGGTCGACGCCGAGGAAGAACGCCGGGGCGGCGTCGTGGCCACAACGCCCGCTTCCGACAACGGAAGGGCCGGGGCGGGGCTCCGGCTGTGCGATCCGGACTGGGTCCTGGGCGGGGTCTACCTCGAACGGATCGCCAAGCGGATGCGGGACTTTCCCTTCCGGTTCACCACCGGGACGACGGGTGGCTTTGGTGCCAGCGGAGGAGGAGACGGAGAGAACGAAAGCCCCAGCGAACACCATTCCGAGAACGACGGGCAGCAGACGGAACCGCCGTGGCCACGCGAAGTCGGAGTATCCCTGGCCGTGGCAACGGTTCGAAAGGTGCGTGCGGAGTTGTCMTTTGGTTTGCCGTGCTTTCTTTGCGCTCTTTTTTGGGAAATGCATGGCTCGGTCGTGTCGTACCGTAGGACGCGGTCTGGCCAGTTTGGGTGTGGTGTGGTGTGGTGTGGTGTGGTTGTGCCGTGCGCCTTCAAGTCGATCCCTCGCAAAATGCACAATCGGTTCGACTCAACTTTTTCCTTTCTCCACTTTGCCCAAATCAGATGAACACCCATGCCGTTTTGCGACAAGAACAAGTGTTTTACCCATACGGAGACGACGATGACATGGTCAACGATGCCGCGCAGATATTTGCTCGATCCTTGCACAACGAATGGTGGAAGAACCGCAACAGCCATCGGGACGAAACCGACGGCTCGGAGGAAGTAACGGATGGCGATGCTTCTGTCTTCACGGGGGGCTGGGACAACTCCAAGAATTCGGCGTCGGTCRGCGACAAACGAAGCAACAATCGAGACTTTGGCGTTTTGATATTTCTCTCGATCCAGGACCGCGTGTGCTTCATTTCCACCGGCAACGCCATTTCKAAYGTGCTGCCGTGGTGGCGCCTCGAGCACATCGTGGCGAGCATGAAACCCGATCTGAGACACCGGGACTACGGAAACGCCATCCTGACCGCGATCGACGACCTCTCMGAAATGCTCGAGGCCGGCCCGCCGACGGTCCGGGACCGGATGCACGATTTCATGGCGCGCTTTGGAGTGGTCATTGCCTTTGCCCTCTTCACCTTTGTCTTTGGGGCGTGGGGGGAATGCCGGGACCGGCAGAAACGCTTTCAGTACGCCGAGCTGCGGAGCCAGCTGAACGAGGTGGAGCGCGAAAAGGCAAGGCTGAGGCAGAAGCAGTTTCAGACCACCTCGTGCCCGATTTGCCTGGAGCCGTTCGCGCGCGGGGGAGAGGACGACGAGACCACCGTGGGCACCGACGAGGATACCCTGGGCGACCAGACCAAGGACGCGAGCCGGTCGGAACGAAAGGGGATGTCGCGGGTGGACAGCTACGGAATTCCGCTCAACGGAGCCGATCGGAAGAAAATAAAGTTTCTCCGGTGCGGCCACATATTCTGTGAATCCTGCTGGAAGAGCTGGATTCGCTCCGGGCACGGGAATCCCTGCATCTGTCCGGTCTGCCGCCAGGACGTGGGCAGGTCTTCCTCCAAGAGCAAGCGGCGAAAGGAGCAGCGGCGTGCCGCCAGGAGAGCCCGGGTCGACATTGCTACTGCCCTGGCGATGGAGGAGGAAGGGACCCCGCTGCTGGCCAGCGACCGACACGATTCCCTCGGAGAGGGTGGATTCGGAACCCGCTCGCAGCCGCCGTCGTACGGGGCGCTGACCACRTCCTCTCTGRATTCCCCATCGGCCCCCGCGGTGGCGTCCCCCGTCGCTCCCGGGCCCTCTTCGTTCGGGGCTGCCCGGGGACGCGCCGGGCACGACGAGAACAGCGCGTTGCTGGTCCGGGGTGCCACCCTGTGGGCGTCGGCCTTTGGACCCGGGCCCAGCATCGCCACCATGAACAGAGACCGGAGCGGCGGGAGCAGCAGCAGCAGCACCGCCACCTACCCAGACGCCCTTCACCACGAACGACGCGAGGACCGAAGGCGAAGAAAYCTTACCTTTCGGTAAGCAGAGGAAAGAAACAAAAAGGCAAGCAAGCAGCGAGTCKAAYGGAAACRAGAGGAAACGAACGCATCGGCATCTCGGGCACGACGGCTACGGTGATTGCAAGGAGAGKAGAATAGCGATGGCGGACATTGGTGGTTCCCAACCATATTTACGTTCCCAAATTGTTGTATGTTGATTACAGTGTAGAAGCAAGCAAACATAGATTACCAAGTGTATAGATATCAATATATTTTTCTAYCGAAACCACCGAACAAARTCGCTGAGATACTGGGAGGGTATCGTTTGTTGTTGTTTTCAAAATCCAATTTCGTTCCTATCGCAAAGGTAATTCCAGGTTTTCCCGGCACCGATGCCGTACAAGTACCGTAGGTACCGTACTGTACATTACAGGGGAACTCGGGACTACTTTAGTTTTGCTATCTGTATGTATGAACATACGAGTACATAATTGACGAAGTATGTAYGTACGAGTATCTCGTACGCTTTAGAGTACCGGAACGATCTGATACGGTGCACAACACACGAATCATCGTCATTCAAAAACAAAAAAGAATCGGAGAGCAAGATTTTGGTGGGAGAGACATCAGTTGTTCTGACAGCGCTCTTTTCGAAAGAAGATCTCGGGAGATTTTCAACGCACCCATGTACAGAGAGTGGTATCGGCACGTGCTAAAACCGTAAGAACTTGTACCGTATTGTACGACAAGAAGACAGCAATCGTCATTGTATCACAACAACACGAAAAAAAGAACATTAGAACAAACAACAACAACAACAACAACAACAACAACAACAACAACAACAACAACAACAACGTCGCCGCAACAATGAAAGCCTTCCTTGCATTCTCCCTCCTAGCATCTGTATCGGCCGTACACTACGAGAGCCCACCCTGCGGTTCCGACGAAAAAGCCATCCAGGTGATGGGGATTGACGGAGTTTTCTGCTCCCCCGAGTGCACCCCGGAGTGTCCCACGGATGTCCCCGAAGGCGTCACCGCGGTGAGTAGTACCGGGGCGCATCGTGCCGGGACGCAAAACAGCGCACGACCGTGGCTGATTGCCCGCAACTGTTGGGTCTTGCTGCTGCTGCTGCTGCTGTCGCCCGGAATATGGCAACACACGACACATTCCAACCCGACTCGGCTCGGCTCGGCTCCCGTTCTCTCTCTCTCACTCACCGTGCCTGTTCTCTCTGCCGTTTCGCTTGCTCTTGTTTCCCGCTTCCTGGCATTCGATGCTTTCCGATGCGATCCGATTGAATTCAATTCGGAACAACACCAACCAGGCCCCCACGTGTGCCCTGCAAGCCCCGACGGGGGATAAGTACTGCGCAATTCTTTGCAAACCAGGCGGTCTGGGGGGCGGCGATTGCGGCCCCTCGATGAACTGCGCTCCGGTTCCCGGTGCCGATGGCTTTGGCCTCTGCGTGTACCCGGTTGCGGACGATCGATCGCCGGGCGTCTTTCTTCGRTCGGCGGAAAACAAGAGAATGGTCGCCGCSGCCTTTTCTCCCCTCGCCGATACGGCGGCGTCCTCTGCCTAGACRTCGCTCGYTCGGCAGCGGCTCGCTGCGACACAATGCTGTAGAACGGATATTGATCGGACGAGCCGGTYACCCGGGCGCAGAAGCCRTGAGTGACGAATATCAAGCCGTGGTATCAATGCAGAATGGGCCTCGAAATCAATGGGTTTTATAGTATTTCTTTTTAAATTACTTTTGCAACTCTTTTGTTTGCAAAAGCGCCTATCGACCGAGAGGGATGTGTCAGCTAGAGAAGAACTGCAATCAAGTAGTTCTTTATGAGACATGGAAGTTTTTTAGCACTGTTTTTAAATTGGTTTGATCCTTGCAAAAAAGAACGAATGTAGATAGAGTGCCACGCACTCCAAGAATCTTGAGTCACTTGGCGCTTTGGTATTTACTAGAAACTGCTTGTTCTGCTGCATGGCTGCCAACCCACCTTTCCATCACCATGGCAATGTGCCAAACAAGAATAACAAGGAATGCAATCACCGTGGAACCAACAAGAATGCTCCTCTTGTTGAGGTTTAAGACCAGAAAATAGCTACCCGCTCGCAACACTATCAGTTTGATGTCCCAGCAGCTGGTTGTGGTAACATCTGGTATTTACGTTACACTACTAGTGATCTCATCAAACTACCGTATCGTCAAAGGATGCAAACAGCTTTTGCTCCCATGATTGAAAAGATACCTACGGTATCATCAAACTATCGAACTGTTGGAATTCCTCATGGGATTCAAAAGGGGTTCCCTCTCAAATTGTTTTGAAAATTCCCCCCAAGTATTAAACGACGTCCGCGTTTGTCGTACCAAATCCCTGTAGTCCTGCATGAAGGCAGACATGCTCGGAACGCGGAGGTAGTACGGCGCGAAGAAAAATTTGAATTTTTCATTTTTTGGTTCGGAACGAACTGTACCGGTACGAGTATGATGAACTACGAGAGAACGTACCGTACGTAGATGTAATATGTGCCGATACAGTAACACAGAATCGGAGACGACTATCAATCTCATCCCATACACCTTCCTCGTCGGAATCACACAGCTGAGGGRCGTGCAACGAGATCAAACCATTCTGTTATGAGCCAACCCATTAATCCGCCCTCGCCAACGACTGGGTACACCCACATTCCCCCCTCTCCCCCGGCATCCAAGCCGAAGAATGGCGGTGGCGATTCAACGGTCGCAGCGAGAACAATTTCCACATCGCGAAAAATGATGGTTGGGGCGATCGGCGTGCTGTCGATCTTTGTTCTGGTCCAAACCTATTTCTACACGTACGATAGCCCCGRAGATATTGTCGCTGCGGCGCATGCTTCGACGTCCACTGCAGTAACGATTGGTGGTGCTTTGTACCGTGATTCGGAGGTCGAACCCAAACATTCCTGGATGGACAAKATAGTCTTTCACCGGTCCAGTCTTGCGGGCGTGTCCCACGAGCTTAAACGTAGAAAGCAGRGAAGAGATAGAAAAAATAACATAACGACCAAGGGGCACAAGGAAAAGAATACGAAGGCTGCAGTAGCAAACTACGCGAACGACGACATTGGTGATTATAGCAGCATGATGGAAGATATCTCCGTCCTCTACGATGCCGTCGCACAGACCGTTCGTGACATTGGGGTTCGCGGGCTGTTGTTTGAGGTTTTGTCCGACGACTTCGAGTACTACGTTTACAACGATGAAAGCAACAGCAGCGACGAAACCGGCGACGACGACTCGTCCTCCGATTCCTTGGACGAGCTGCACACCTATTGGCGGAAATGCAGTTCGAAACACGGGGTTGGAAAGGATTGCAACGAATGGGACGTGTGGTGGACATATCACTATGTAGGAATCGTCATCACCGATATGTTGGTGCAAGAGAATGAGTTGCTGTGGGACGGATCTTCTGGGGAAAAGATCACGGCAGCCAGTGCTGGCCCCGACGACCAAGACACGAGCATGGCAACATTGCTGGACAAGATCCACCACCTGCAAGCGACGCTGCCATACCTTACCCAGGCCAGCTTCCACGCACAGCATGCGCTGATATGGCGGTACGTCGAGCGGTCGTCCGGGCGATTGTCTTCCTCGTATCCGTGGGACGTGTCGATCCGGTTTTGCCGCGGGGATGGATCGCGAGAAAAGGGGATTGTCGGCCGTCCGGTCGGGAAGGGCATTGACCACGAATGTTTTCACGGGTTTGGCCACGCCATGTTTTATGCCGTAGCGGCGAAGCAGATAAGGCAACGGCGGCACGAGAAGCAGCATAGAAGAGCCACAAAGTCGAAAAACAAAGACGAGGGAAGAGAACCTTTCTTGGTGCTGGCTCCACACAGTGGTTTTACGTTGTCTCAGAAATCCTATTGCGAGGTTTACGAACTGTGCCGGGGCGCATCTCCAACGAAAGAGGAACGGCGTGCTATGGATCCTAACGGCGAAGCGAGAGCAAATTCGTACAGGATATGTTTCGAAGGTGTGGTACACTCCGTTCGATTGATGTCGGAGGATTCCAAGATGACCCACAAACAAAGTGCAATTGACATAGTGGACAAGGAGATGAAGCGGTGTGCATCGGCGAAGAAAAAGAAGACAAAGAAAAAAGGCCACGACAACGAAAGGAGGTAGATAGAAACCAAGATGAAACGCTAAACAAAATAGGTGGGACCATTTGCTCGTTTTACAGTACTACGAAAAATACAACTCGTACATTTTTGGATATTGGATTGCCAAACGAATTATTCAACTGAAGTTTACCACTATTACTGCCTTTGGTTCGATTAAAATGAAACTAGAGCCTTAATTTGGGGACTTTATCGTTTGTTTGTTCCTCTCGCCACTTGCGTCGTCGTATCTTTGTCCTTTCTCCNTGCCAGCCGACGTGAAGCTACACAACCTTGATTCAAACTGTGACTGCTATCAGTGACCATATACTGTGTCCTCGGAGGCAGCCAGTACTCGCCCTGCAGCCCTGCACGATCCAACCTCATCGCGAGAGCCTGTCCCTGTCTCTCTCATCTTAACGATTTTTGAAGTGATTCGCGTGAACAGAAAACGAGACCAAGGATCGAGAATGATTCGTCGTCGTCCCCAAAATTCTCTTTCTGAAACGACGGATTCCACCAATGGCAGCAAAACAGAGAGTGCAAGTAATGGTGCTACGAGAAGAAGCCCTGATCAAAGCTCATGTCATCGATTTCTGTCTTCTAAGCTGCTTCAGGCAGCAACCTTGGCGGCATGCATTATTGTTCTCTTCGAGACCGCGAATTACCTTGATTCCGTCTACACAATAAACACTAGTTACAAACCGAACAACATGATTGATGGGACGGAACGAAATATAATCGGCGCGGCTAATAAAAATGATCATGGGGCGAAGGTAGCTGGAACGACTGACAGCCGCGTTCGTGCCCTCAGCATCAGTGACATTCCAGATGTTCGGCACGAGGCTGGTGCTTTTAAAGCCATCAAGGCGCGGTTTGATTATGCTACCAGTATTGGTCAGTCGGAAAATCGAAACAATTTCAACAACACTTCTGGCCAATACTTGCTGGATTTTGGAATCATTGGTTTTCCGAAATGTGGCACGACGACGATGAGTAAGTTACCAGTTAGTGTTTCATCTGCATTTTATTGAAGAGGTTCTAGATACATCGGGGGAAGAGACAAAGATCCACGGGCGCAAGTCCCTTTTGCCTAGTACACTAATAGCGCTCGAAAACCAAATCTTGTTACAACGTAAACAATTGTCGAACCTGGTAACTCCGAAACCCTCTTTCACACTCCATTCCGAAACGAAACAGTGAAATGGTTGAATATGCACGAGCACATGGCGGTCCTAGATTTTGAAATCACGGCGCTTCAAAAAAATCATCCTGCTCGCATTCTCAACTACATGATACGCGACTTACCCGAGGGGAGGTTTCGGAGGGGGTACAAGAGTCCTACCGACGTTGAAGACGGTCGTGCTCGTAACAAGCTGGGGGTTCATTATGGCAAAACGAAATTGTTGGTGGGGTTGCGTCATCCAGTCTTGTGGTTCGAATCCTTTTACAACCACCGGGTCCAGAACGGCTACGAGATGCCCGATATTTTGGAAGTTATCCGCGACAGAGGCCGTAGGGTGCTTTTGAACGAATGCCCGGGGAATTTCAGAGGAGTTTGTTTCAGCCGTGCCAATTTTCATCATGCCCTGGCCAAGTGGGGTAAGACCCCACTGTTATTCTTGCCAGGCAACGATACCGACAAACGATTCGGTTATACAAACTACGACAACGATCGGGAATTCTCACTTTTTACCGGCAAAAGCAAGCAGAATTTGCTAAAGGATATGAACAATACGGATGTTTCTCCGAACCCAATGTTCTTGTATGATGTCAACCAATTGCGAATGCCACCTTCGGTGATGGATGGCAATGACAAAGGTGCCATCGAACAAGAACGCGTTTATGACGACTTTGTGTTGAACTTGCAAGGCTTTCTAAATGTCCCACAAAATGTATCGGCCATGCCAACCATGATAAAAGAAAAGCCGGGCAAGACAAAGGGGATCGACGCCKCAGAGCAGCTGCGGCGTGACGGTTTGAAGATTGATATGTGCGACGAAAAATTCGCGATGCCCCGAAAGTGGCTGCTCGAAATAGGTGCGAATGTCCACCTGTGGATCCGGGATTATTTTTCGAAAAGCCCCCACAATGTGTTTGCCGGTGGAAGCAGAGGGAGTCCATCRGCGTCGCAATTTWTGACCATACTACAATCCTATGCAGAAGATCCTTGCCCAGAACGAGTGCAAAAACGAAAACAGCTAGAAMAGAACTGAAAGAAAAGGCGGCGCACARTGTAGCKGTGACGAGCACGCAGGAAATGATTATGCGTGTAGTGTTTGTTGTTTGGAACTTAGATCGATCCTTTTCGCCAGTGCTATCCAGATCGGTGTTGTCACTATCAAACCTTCCTTGATTTTCGGCACCCGTTCACCTTTGCAATGAAAGGAGACTATTAATGCAAACTCGCATTGCACCAATCYGRACCATGTTCATGAGGGGACATTYTCCCCACCCGAATCTGGTTGTACCGCTCTCTAAGTTTCTTTACTACTTCTGTCATTTTGTTTYTGGTGGTGTCATTGTGCAACAGATCGTTCAGCTCGTACGGATCGCTTGTCAGATCAAACAATTGTTCGTAGTTCTGTTGTTGCCAGTCGATGTATTTGTACTGCTGATCTATGAGCGCAAACACTCGGTGAATGTCTGTGTTATGGTACTCGTACACAAACTCGGTTCGCCAGGGCTCGCGSTCGACCGGCGACGTAGCCAGCTCTTTTGGCAGGTATATATCTGCCAAGTCTCTTCCCTGCATCCCGGGAGCTGATTCGATGTTGGCAGCCCCCAATATAGTCGACGCCAAATCTACGTTGAGGGACATGCTGTCTTCGAGTCTCCCTCGCTGTTCCTTGGGCAGACGCGGATCATGGATTATGAGCGGTACCCGAATGGAATCTTCGTAGGGAATCCATTTGCCACCAAGGCCATGGGATCCCATCATCAAGCCATTGTCCGAAGTGAAGATTATCATCGTATTTTCGTACAGTCCTTCGCTTTTTAGYACGTCAATGATTTTCTGGCAGGCAGCATCGACTTCTGTCACCAAAGCGTGGTAGTTGCGCATCCCCATGTTGTACTGATCCGTCGTCTTCCACCGCGACTCGAAACGCGAACTGACAATGCCTCGTTTCAAAAAACCTGGCAAGTTGTTGTGTACTTGCTCCACGTCGTAGGGGCGTTTGTACGTTCGGTTGGCGTATAACTCCATGGTTTCCTGTTTGGGAGACCATTGTTCACCCGGTTCATACGAGTTGCCGATGGCTTTGGGGGGATAAAAGGCAACAGTCAGAGCAAACGGACGGTCTCTGGGCCGATYTTCCAAAAATTTCTTGGCGCTGTCGTAGCCCTTATCACTGGCGGATACTCCACCGAACCAATGTCTGCCCTCAAAGATTGTAGTGACGTTAAACAGGGATGGAAGTACCCTTTTTCCATCAAAGTATTGCCACTTTCCAACATGACCCACGTAGTAACCACCAACACGTTGCAGAATGGCGGGCCATGTGTCCTTCCAATACTCAGGCAACGTAAATCTTGGACATTTCAAGCGGAAAGATCCATGTGAACTGGCTGGATTGAAATTGAATGGAATGGATTTCATTTTATTACATTTGATTCACAGGAAAAGAAGAGATCAGAAGAACCAAGACGAGAAGGCACAATCATCAAACGCAGCAACCGAACATCGACGATTCTTCTCGTCTCGTTCCGGGCCAACCATATCTTTTGACGCACCGTATTGGCCCGTGAACAAGGTCGCCCGTGACATCCAGCACACGCTCGTCGTGACTGCATTCCTCGTAAAGCGGATGCCGTCTCTCGCCAGGGCGGTCAAAAAAGGAGTTTCAACGTAGTCCCTGCCACTGACGTCTTGCATRGATTTGTGCGACATGTCGTCCGGGAAAAGTACGAGCACGTTCAATGGGCGACGGTTTGGTTTTGTATCGGCACCATCGTTCTTTGCCTCGTGATTCTCGTCGCCTGTTGTGGTTGTTTCTGTTGGCGGTATTGTTGGTGCCAGTGTTGCTGCTGACGTGTTTGTTGCTTCTGCTGCCGCTCTGKTCATGGTAGAAGTAGTTCTTGTTGTGTCTTTCGCTCTGTCGAAGCTCGGATTGTTGTTTTGCGTTTCTCCTGCAGCCTGTCTATTTATCAGTGGCGCGGTTCCATTTCCCCCTGCTTTCCTGAGAGGAGCTTCGAACAACCGATTGTCGCTGGTGTCCTTCGCGTCGCTCTCGAAGTAAAAAGTGTTGTGAAACCGGGCCAACTGGACAAAGGAAAGGACCAAAATCGCCAGAAGCGCCAGGGCGGCACAGCGCTTCCGTAGGAGACCGTCCGATTTCGAGTTCGTTTGACTGAACTGGATGGGCATTGTCGCGCTTATGGAGTAGTATTGTGTTTGCGAGCGAGAGAGAGCATGCAGCAGTCGTTCTGGAATKTTCTTTCGAAATTTTTCACTGCAGTAAGCTTTCAATGGGCAAGTAGAGCTGCTGAAACCATATCTGTTCTGACTTCTACAACGAATCCAGGATCTCGGTTACAGTACTCGTACCGGCAGGCACAAGAGAAAGATGATAACCGATAACCCAAACAGCAAAGGCAAGATCATTGATACTCGTACAGGTGATACTGAACAACGTATGAGAAAAAATCCCCCGGTTAAATTCACATAGATTTGTGYGTTATTCTGATATTCTGATATCCCTAACCCCAGTCATGCTTTTGGTTTGTAACCATTTCAGAAAATATGGCTCATTCCAGTATTCATGGCACGAAACAGAACCCGACCAGTCGTGGCCGTGTTCAATTGGTGCCGTATGACTCTTCGTGAAAACCCTACCGTACCGTAGGGAATCCAAATCCAAGTCCAAATCTTGAATCGATTTTGAGCTTGACCGTGACACAACAAAAAAGTCCATTTTCACGATCAGAGCACGGCATTCGTCGACCCACCAAACTCACCGTTGCGATTGGGACGGGTCCCCCTCTGTATCGCAACACCACCTGCTTCGAAATGACAAAACTTGCTCCGCTTCTTCGGTTATTGTGGTTCTTGGTTCGTTGCATTCTTGTCGGTGCAGCCGCAACGGAAGGCGACGACTTTGCCATCGCCGGATACTTGCCCGATTATCGCCTCCGAACGTACCTGGATCAGACGCAGCAGTGGAACGGAAATTCTAAGAAACCGAATCCGAAACGCCGGGATTCTGGATCGTCTGTCTTTGTCACGGATCTCGTCCTCTTTTCTCTCCAGCCACACGCCAGGGGATTCATCGGGTGCTGCCTGCAGGAAGACCACTACGACTTGGTCGAGGAATTCCTCAACAGCACCCTCCCGTCCTCGCCGTTTCCGGAAGCCCCGACGACCACCGRCCMGTCTCCGTTTGTCTGGGTCACGCTCGGCGGGGGCGGGAGGACGGGGGCCTTTCCGGAGCTGTGCACCTCCAGCAGATCGCGGCAGAGACTGATAGGGTCCGTTTTGGCCCTCGCTTCCAGGCGGTCCTTCCTCGGGGGGATCGACCTRGACTTTTTCCAGCCCCGGACSATCCAGGAACGCGACAACTATGTTTCGTTCCTGAACGAAGCCATTCCCCAATGGAACAACCACGGACTRAGAGTAAGCCTGACCCTGCATCCCTACCAGGGAAGAATGATTCCGCCGGACGTGTATCAGAAACTGGATCGCATCCATTTCATGACGTACGACATGGTCGGCGAGAGCAGCGACAGCAATTACCATGCCAGTCTTGCCAAGGTTCGTCGAGCCGTAGAAGACTTGCTGCAGCCCGGTGGAGGCCTGTCACAGACTCCCGAGAAGGTGCTGCTGGGAATCCCGGCGTACGCGAGGCACACCGGCAATCCGTCACGGGTAAAGACCTTTGGTGAGATCTACGACGACGTGTCGCCGGACGAAGCGGCCAAGGGTCGGTCTCGGGATGGCTACGARTGGGAGTCCCCGTCCAGAATCCGAGCCAAGATCGATCTTTCCAAAGAACTCAAGCTCGGAGGAATCTTCTTTTGGGAACTCGGGCAGGACAAAATCACAMCGGAACACCCGGRTGGTGTCTTGCTGGAGGCAGCCTTCGCCGCTGCTTCCGTGGGATCGTTGGCGCCAGAGGCAGAGCTTTAAGGATTCTTCGAACGGTCCGTCCGTCCGTGGAAAGTCGGAACGATGAACTAGGCTTCTCCAGAGCGAAGACTGAGCACATTGTTACAGGCTCAAACAACGACCTCAGATGCATTCGGCCAGGCATCGGACACAATGAGCAATGTAACCATATATTACGGGAAACCAACTTTCGTGATGTGTGTTCACAAGTACCTAAATATATATAASATTATGACTAGTTTCTTAGTAGCCATTGTGGAAGTAGAAAAGAATGGATCCACATATCGATGTACTGCGCTCTAGAGCTCCTTCGTTCCAGACCTTTCATTTCAGACAATCGACCGACACATTCCATGGCGCAATCGTTGAGATGTCTCTTCGACCTGCACCAGGCCTCCGCGTTGGCAATTCCCTCCGGAAGGCATGACCAAACTGCCGTTCCAACGAAATCACTCGGCAGACGCCATGGCATTCCTTGCCCATCAAACAAAAGATTCCGGACGCCTTCTCCACCTTTATTGTCTCGGCCGCACAATACCATACCATACCATACCATACCAAACCATACCATACCATACCATACCATACCAAACCATACCAAACCATACCATACCGTAGCCCAACCCACATCTCCCGTCTCTCGTAGATGCGCATTCCTTTGTGCCGACGTGCCAAAAAAACGAATCCTTTTGGTGTGCTCCTCGAGGTATTTCTCACWGCTAMCTCGCCGTATGCAGCTTGAGCTCCTTCCTGTGTTTCGATCTCTCTTCTCGCAACGCCCGCACCTCGKCCGGATCCTTTTGCAGCATGGCGGCTTCCCTTAGGGCCMGCTCCGCATGGTGTAGGTCCTTGCCCTCGTTTTTGCGAAAGTCGTCGATGAGCTTGCGCTCGGCGTCTTCTCTCTCTTTGGTWATCATCTGGTTCCGCGGCACCGTCACGTTGGACGCCTCCAGCGCCGCGTCCTTGATTCCCTCCATGGTTTTGATCACGCTTTCGGCCTTGTAGCGRCGGATGCTGTCGAGCATTTTCTCCTCTTTGGCTTTCTTTTTCTCCAGGCGCCTCTGCTCCCCGCGGCGTTTGATGTCCACCTCTTTCTGGAATTCTTCCTCTATGAACTGCTCGCGCAGGGCATCGGCCTCGATTTTTTCGGTTCTTTCTTCTTCTTCCTTTGCCCGGCAGTCTACGAACTGCTTGCGATCGAATTGCTTTTTGTACCGGAGGTATGTTTCCTTTTCCTYGGGGGTTCCGTTCATAAATTCCAGTTCGAGGAGGACCTTTTCCTTGATGGTAATGTCCGGATCGGTGATTCTRTACAACTTCTTTTGGATGTCCATGGGAATGTTTTGTTTGTTTGCGTTCGTTCGGCTGGCAWCGCTGACCCTCGATCGCGTCGGGGTCCTAGCCTTTGGGACGGATCTCGATCCGGCGAGGGGCGGCTTGGGGGACTTGGARCGGTTTCTCGGAGGCGCAGGAGGGGTCTTCCCGCTCGTGTTTGGTTTCGTGGACGAGTAGCAGTGCTTCGTGTTGTTTTTTTTCGGGGCGGCCGGTTCTGTTTCGCCGGTAGCAGGCTCGTCGGTCGGCGGCAGACGGGCAGAGACCGTCGGCCGCTTGCCCCTCTTGGGGCTCTTGCTCCCGGCCCTGCCGCTCCCGGTGGTGCCCTTGCCCTCGCCCCTGCCGATGGCYTCGAGGGACTGCTTCAGAAAGTCCTCCTCSTCGTCGTCGTCGTCCGAGAGCGCCAGCAGGCCGCAGCTCGTGGTGAGCCGGCCGAGGTCTCCGTCGAGTTTTTTCCTCCGGGTCAGGTGGGCCTGGTGCGGAGACCAGCCCCGCTTCGAGATGCGGATGGGTTTCTTGGACATGGTCGGCGGTGGCAGTCCGTGGGGTTCTCCGTGGGGTGCTCTGCAGAGTTCTCTGTGGGGTTCTCTTTTGCCCCTCAGTCTTGCTGGCGGTATGTGGAGCATGTTGGATGTTGTGCGAAGGGGTCGGTGAGGAACGAAACGGTCGAAAAAGAACGAGAGGGGAAAACAACGAATTGTGTCCGTTGGTGGTGTTGCCGTAAAATACGCATTGTTCCTTGCTGGAGATCGCACCGTGCCTCGGCGTTCCGGGAAGCCCAAAAGCATGGACTCGCAACAACCGCAACCGCAACCGCAACCGCAACCGCAAACGCAAACGCAAACGCAACCAGCCTCCGTTCGACACTCAAACAACACACACTCACCTCGATATCGTTTGCGGTGCGCGATGGGGCAGACGATTTTGTTTCCTCTCTGGGATTCCTAAGTAKCTTCGTTGTGCCGTCGAAACGCAACAATTATACTTAGTGCGTGGGGAGACATACGGTACTCAAAGTGTAAGAATCGTTATGCGACAGGGGTGGTTCCGAAGTCACTTCGAGTGCTACGGTACGTACCGTAGGCTTGGTGTCGGTATGATGCCGCACTGATAAAAACTCGTAGCAGCAACAATTAAGACAGCACACGATCACCTCTGTTTTGTGGCATTAATCTTTTCAGTCGTAGGTRCGAGTGTCGCAAGTTGATGGAACAGTCAATCTACGAGTACGTACTGTACTGAACATTTCGTAGAAGCAGCCTAACGCTTGTGAAACAAACGATAGTTTTTTAAGATACGTCTGCAACAAAGGAAAATGACTGACTCGCCGAAGAAAAGAGAATCTTCCCTACTTCCCTGGCTTTTTAAAGTATTTGCGGCATTTGTTCACTCATTGTTATCATCCAACAAAAAATAAAACCTTTTTTTTCTATATTGCCCTTTGCACAAAAAAATGACATAGTCCTTCACCGTGGTATTTTTTTACGTGAACCTACCGGTATTGCAGCAGTAAAGAAGTCATTCTTTGTTTTACTCGTAGGAGTCGTAGAATCAAAAWATCGAACAAAACAGGGGGGGTTTCCAGGCTTGCGATGGGGGAGGGGGAACTCGTGGGTTTCTTCTTGATGGGTTCCTTTTCTCGCACCATACCGTACGTTCCGTCATCCGTTTTATTTGATGGAGTGAATGAAGAACCAAGAATCATCATCGGTCACACGACGAGTACCAGGTACCAGGTACGCTGCTAGGAGCGCGTAGTATCGTACGGTACCGTATCATCAGCACGATGCTGGATTTGCACCGAGGACAGTGTGAGGCACATAAATCACGAGTAGCTAGTGAGTGAGTGACCCATAACCTCACTCTTTATTATAAACACGTAGTTATACGGCAATAAAGAGCATACATACATTCGCAGGTTATTCGTGCTTGCCTCTTTCGGCGCTCCCACGGGACGCTTCGTGCGAGTAACGTGCGTACCGTAGTGTTTGGATATGGAATRCCCGTGTTGTTTCATTCGGCGGGACCGTGCAACACGATACACTACTTCTTGTAACACTTCGTAACGTACCGTACCACACCTACCGCATCGACCGAGTGCGCCCCGGAACGCCAAACCACCCCCACCCACCCGAGGGACCGACCACCAAGGAGACCGACCCCCCACCCATGGACGAYACGGATGCGAGCACCGATCCYCCCGTGGCCGCAAGCGCCGCGGCCGATCTCTCCGAKCTCCTGCGGGCCATGACCACGACGACGACGATCGAACCCACCGGGAAAGGCGCTGCRCCGGGRGTCCCACCGGGGGTCCCACCGGGARMYSCCTCTATGTCGCCCCTTCCGCCCGGGGACACCGCGGTCCGCCCCCTGGCGGCGTCCCTGCCCACGACGGTCAACCGCTCGTACAAAATCTACGGCGTTCCGACCCACGCGTTCTGCCAGGTCTTCTCGGACCGCATCGTGGTGGGGGTGACGCAGCTCGTGACCAAGACCAAGACCGCAAAGGACACCAAGGGCGAGGGTGCGGTTGCGGTTGCGGCTGCGGCTGCCTCCTCGGGGCACATCGGGTCCTGGGTGTACTGCCAGGCGTCCCAGTCGGAGGTCGATCCCAAGCAGGTCGACTACGAGTTGTCGACCCTGCTGGGGGGGAGCGGCAACGCGAGGGACGAAAAGGAGGTCTACGCCCGTCGCATCGCGGAGCGGTTGCTGGAAAAACAATCCGTTCCGGGCGGGTCGAACAGGATCGTCCTGCTGCTGGGGATCTCGCTCCTTCCGGTGCCGCCGCCCGGCGTTTCCTCCRTCGAGCGCTTCAAAACACTCGTCGAGGTCCTGGTGGAGCTGATCGAGACCGCTTTGGGGATTGCCCTGGAGCGGTAGCGACGGGCCGGGGGGTCGCCCGTGTGCAAACAGCGGGGGCCGCCGGGCGTGCGTGCACCGCGAGCCCGGACCCCTCGGAGGGACCACATCGATGCTTTCGACTGCAAGAAAGCATAGAAGGAAGTGGAACCCACACTCTCCAAACACTACGGATTGCTAAACTTTTAAAATTGATTAGTATTAGTATTGGTATTMGAATTTGAAATTAAAATTAATGCGGATGTACGGTACACGCATGCGTTATCTTCATTTGTATTAGCCTCGTACGGGTAGCCGTTCGTCGGTTTGCAACCATTCGCAGGCGCTATCTTCGCCCGTTCTATTATTTTTTGGGTTTGATCATTCTCKATTGATTCAATCACCGAGGTTCAAAATTGTGGTTCGTCGATGKGCATCGCGTGCCGTTGTCACGCCGCCGGCGCGGCAATCTCGCATTCCTTCTTGAAGAGAACGTTCAGTGCGTTCGACAAAAGCCCGTCCCATTCCTTGATWCTGTTTCTCTGGGACTCGTTCGAATCCGTGAGGTACATCATCGTGCTGAACATGTTCTGGAAGCACGTCTCGGAGCGCTGGGTCTCGCCCAGGATTTCGTACACCGAGCCGAGGTTGTTGATCAGGGCGAGCGTGAACAAAAGGCTCACGTCGCAGGACTCGTCGAGGTTCATCTCGAAGGCCAGCTCGTAAAGCTTTCGCGCCCGGCCAAACAATCCCCTGCGCTGCCTGTTTCGTTCGCTGCGGGCCCCRYGCGCGTTCTCGTCGCCTCTGATGCTGCCATSGCAACGGTCGATCGACAGGGCGTGCAGGTGCAGCGCCAGGGCGAGATTGTACATGACAATCATGAGGAACTTCGAGAGCARCTCGGAMGACGTCTCCTCCGCGTCCGTTTCCGATACCTCGGAGGGCACGCTTTCSGGCGGAATTTCCACCGGGTCTCGAAACACAAACAACGGTGGTTTTCGGGGAGCGACGGGGGACGAGGAGGCTGGCGAGGACAGATGTTTGGTGGRAGCAGYGGCCGAGTGTGGCCTCTGTGCATTCGGCTGTGATGGTGCCGAGGAAGACGAAGAGAAGGAATAGCGCCTCGTCGACCGGCCACCGATCCAGCATGCTTCCGACGATGGATGAGACGAATGATGCCGCRTCGATGCTTCTGATGCTGGTGTTTGGGGTCCGGAACGCCTCGTGTCTAGTTCGTTCCGTTGATCCATACAATCTTGAYAAGCATCGTCGTCGCTCTCCGTCACTGTATCATTGTTCTTGCTGTTTCCGTCCTCGACAAAAACAGCTAAAGGTCTGAGGATATTTAAAACAATTGTRAATGATTTCACAGCATCATCGTAGTRGCGTTGCCTAATGAGTTTCGTTCCTCTATTATTCACAAACACGGCTCGATGAATGGTCGAAGCAACGCTGAAGCGATTCATCTTTTTTTCAGTTTGCTGTTGTTGTTGTCAGGATTCTTACTTTCAACGGCGATTTGAATTTATGGTGAATAGCAAATATTCTTYAACAACGAGAGAATCTTCATTATGAGACATCRATGTGATGCGATCCTAGGAATGTCCTTCCTCCTCGCCCGTCTCCTTGTTTTGAACGCCATTACGCTACTGGTAATTCGTTTTAATCGGGGAAACAACAAAACCTGGTGCGCTTCAAAAACCTGTACTTGTATGRAAGMAGCTTCGGGAAAAATGAGAACGTTCCGAATTCATCGCGCTTCATCATACGGAAGAAGTTTTGCTTCAACTTCAATGAGATGCACAATGAAAGGCTTATATATTGTTTTTAGTCATATTAAWTATATTGAATGATCTAAATTCCTTTGACAGTAGTATTATCACTGTTTCCACAACGGAAGTACGTTCGTATCRAGTTCTTGAAGTCTTGTTGTGTTCCTGTCAAACCCATCTATTTATGTCAAAGCCATTTTTTCTTTTTGCTTCGTTTTAGATCTTGATACGGTAGAAAAGGAAGAAAACTACGAAAGTGCGCTACTTCATAAGTAGCACTTCGTATCAATTGTCAAAACGAAGCTCACGAGAKATTCTACCAGGACCAAAATTAACTCAATAGAATCGAACCGCGATCGAATTTCGAAGCAGTAAGATCAAACTCGAGCAAATCGCATAAATGCTGCCGGTAGTTTGGCTGTTTTCGCATTGGRAATGGAAATTGTTATTGACAAAACTTTATTTTCTACACAGCACTTCGGAATACCGTCATGAGACTCGAATTCGTGCCAACAAGCTCGAGGATAAGGTCGTCCGAATCAATAGGCTAGCACTTGTCCGAAAGACGCAAGTTAGAATTGAGGGTAGTGCTGGACTTTGTGATGCTAAAGGGATTCTATTTGAGAGAATATTACTCTTCTATGCTTAAGATCAAATCGTTGAAGAAGACTTTCCATTTCTTTACATTGAAYTTCTAAACCTTCTTCTAATCATTGAATTCGCTCCCTCCTRAATTGAAGGGTAGTAGAATATTATTCCTGACAGTGCTGTAGGACACATGTACACTCTCTTGYACCCGGAGCACAAGTGACTGGTTGATGTCCTTCCTTCCCCGATCGGAYGGCCTTGAATTTGATKAACAGAAGAATTCGAGTCCCCAACTCTCAAACGAGTGATCACTTGAAGGGTAATTTTGTGGCATCTAACGTTTATGTTGCTCGTGGACGATATGACATCATGGTGGTGGTGCAGCGGTTTTGCGTAGTTTGCCCCAATTTTCCACCATACTAACGACTGGTTGCGCAGTACGCAACATTACATTATGGTGCATTCCAAAACAATGTATTTTGGCGTATGAAACGATGGGACGGTAAAAGAGCACAAGCTCTATAGATGTCGTAGGGTATACAGTTCTGAAGTAGTATAAATTGAAGAGAAAATTAGCAGTTTCTTGGGTTTTCTATTGTTTTTCTCGTCTTCCCATCATCGGCAACCTATTGTACTGTAAGATACCACATCAATGCAATATATTTTGGCCCAGTATCTCAATCGTTAAATGTGGCACTGTTTTTYAATATTCTATTTCGCCCCTTCCTCATGCTGTACATTCCATTGAAGAAAATATCGTCGCCATGCATTGCACTGAATGTGATCTCGCCWAATCATATTCGRCCTCTCACTGGCAATGGCCAATCGTTTGGAAATTTCATCGYAAAGCCACAAAAAGAAGAATTCTATCGTATTCTTGTTGGTTTAGTTTACCGTTTGCGCTCTTTCACGTCACGTTGRATGTATCGATAGAGTGAATTCCCTATTTTTTTTTCGTTGGGTTTTCGTCATTGTCGCTTTTATTGTTAGTTTCATTGTTTAATTCCTCCTCTATAGATTCCTGTTCTTCATCAGATACCAACTCCTCCGTTGGAGGGATCCCCATTTTTCTCAAGGCATCTTCGATACCGTTCATTCCGTTTGAAGACGTCGCAGTGAATATCGATGGGGGACGAGCCGCACGGATTTCTCCGGGACGGTCGACGTATTCGATGACCGCCATCGGTGCGTTATCTCCTGCCCTTGGGCGCGCCAACTTCATTACCCTTGTGTACCCACCCTCGCGAAACTTATAGCGTGGGCCCAATACCTCGAATAACTTTGTCACGTTCCACTCTCCTCTTACGATGCGAGATGCTTGCCGTCGATGGTGCAGTAGTTCGCCGGGAGTCTTTGCCTTGCCATTCTTGTCATCCACAGATGGCTGGCCCTTTTTCGCTAGAGTAATCATCTGGTCCGCCAGATGGCGCAATTCTTTTKCCTTCGCTTCCGTTGTTACGATGCGTTCGTGCTCCACAAGGGAGCTCACCATGTTTCGCAACATGCTCCATTTGTGTGCCGATGTGCGATTCAATTTACGGAAAGCGATTCTTTTCTTCATGGTAGTACGTACTTGTGTCTAACTTTATGGTATTTTAGTTATTAGTTATTACAAGTGTCAAGTTCTCTTGTTTCGATGCTGTCTAGTAGTGCAAACCACTTCTGATGGCAGTGCTTGCGGTAATTGTCGTCTTTTAAGGCCCCAACGAAAGGGTACCTACGGTACTGTTACAACGAGTAAGAGTAGCGCGAGTACTCGGACTCGTAATCCTGTAATACGAAGATGATTGTGTTACTGTTACAGTTTCGTTGACAGAGCGGTTGTTGGATGTTTTGTTTCGTAAAATCTACTGGTGTACGGACAGACTCGTTTGTCAAGAGCTGTCGAAGCCTGTGTTCTTACCGATCCTACCGGTACTTGATACGTTGAGGACAAAATTACTACTGCTACTACTACTACTAGTAGTAGAAGTACTACTACTACAATTATTACTACTACAATTTTGTGTGACATAGTAAATGAAAACTATGTACTCATACTACCAGTAATAATATTACTACTACTAGTAGTAGTATAAACGCCATTGCCTGGCATTATTGTTGCGGCACTGGAGAATTAGCTCACCCTACTATTGATAAACTTACTAGTAGTAGTAGTAGTAGTAGTAGTAGTAGTTGTTGTAGTTGTTGTTGTTGTTGTTGTTGTTGTTGTTGTTGTTGTTGTTGTTGTTGTTGTTGTTGTTGTTGTTGTTGGTGTAGTTGGTGTAGTTGGTGTAGTTGGTGTAGTTGGTGTAGTAGTTGTAGCAGTTGTAGCAGTTGTAGCAGTAGTAGTACAACAAGAAGCAGGAGAGCTTGATAACTACTAGTCTAGTACTAGTAGTACTAGTAGTAGGAGTAGGAGTATTACTAGTAGTAGTAGCTACTACTAGTGGTAAGTGGTAGTTGAGGACAGTTGAAGAAAACAAGTCAGCAACCCAATCAAAAAGTGAGAAACATGATTCTCAGCCAGGGCCTGGTGTACAGCAGTTCTTACTCCTACATCTACTAGTATATCATATTAGTAGTATATTTCTTTCTTCTCAATGGGCAAGAAACCTGCTGATTTTGATTCCAATTTATCACTAGATAACCCTACTAAACATATATACTAGTAATACTACTAGCTATGTAATGTARCTACCATTTACAGTATCAGTGCTGCCTTGTTTGCTTAGGTGACACCCATGTTCAAGTGCACAGTATGAGTTCATAGTAGTACTACTGTATAAAGTAACCACTTAGTAGTCAGATATTGCATGGCATGGTTGACAACAAATCTAGCACTGCACCTGCTACTACTAGTACTACTGCTAGTACTAGTAACTGCTGTCCGACAGAGAGATCAAGCAGTTTCTTTTTAGGTCCTTCCCCAAGTCTTGGCAAAATGATTACATCCATTNGGTTGTTGGATGTTTTGTTTCGTAAAATCTACTGGTGTACGGACAGACTCGTTTGTCAAGAGCTGTCGAAGCCTGTGTTCTTACCGATCCTACCGATACCAGTAGGAACGCAAATGTGTGTGTGACAGCCCCGGAATCAGTACAAATTGTACACGGGTCTACGGAGAGAATTATACACTTCATTTGCGTTCCCAACATGAACCTGTCTCACTTTGAAAAAAACCATTAAGTATTTTTATACCGAAATATTTAGTAGTACTAATTTGTACGTAGGTTTCTACACACCTTGTTATACTGAGGGCTCTTAAGAAAAAACCACTTGGCCGATCATTCTGAGAATTCCGGATCCCCTTCTTCGTATGATTATAATGAAGTTATTCCATTACATGTGTGGAGTGGAAGAGTCCCCAATTGCTCTGTCTGGAGGGCGTGACAACCCCCATGCTGTTTTTTTTTAAAACTAGAAAAACTGCGCGTTTTTTTTGGAGTTATAACCTATTACGCATTTTGTCCACACATTTGCGTTCATACTGGTACTTGATACGTTGAGGACAAAATTACTACTGCTACTACTACTACTACTACTACTACTGCTAGAAGTACTACTACTACTATTATTACTACTACAATTTTGTGTGACATAGTAAATGAAAACTACGTACTCATACTACCAGTAATAATATTACTACTAGTACTAGTACTAGTATAAACGCCATTGCCTGGCATTATTCTTGTTGTTGTGGCACTGGAGAATTACTACTACTACTAGCTCACCCTATTGATAAACTTACTAGTAGTAGCTAGTAGTACTAGTAGTACTAGTAGTAGCTAGTAGTAATAGTAGTAATAGTAGTAGTAGTAGTAGTAGTAGTAGTAGTAGTAGTAGTAGTAGTAGTAGTAGTAGTAGTAGTAGTAGTAGTAGTAGTAGTAGTAGTAGTAGTTGTTGT